ACTTTTTCAGGAATGAACTGGGGTAGCCAGGTTAGTCTTGGGTTCAAGGGATGCATTGGGAGGCCTCAGACTTCTTTCTTGTTCTATGACTTTGGTTTTTTTATTTCTGTGAGGTTTAAATATTAATGAAGTAATGCCAATATATTTCAATCTATTGCAAAACATCTTTGGAGAGGTTTTTTCCCCCCCACATCTGTCTGGCTTCAAAATCCTCTTCTCTGTCTGAACACATCCTCTTTACAGATCTATAAACATGAAACAAGTTTTCAGGGCATATATATATATATAATTATCTATATTCAAAAGACAGACATTTTGATAGGTTTTCTGTTCATTGCTATATTATTTGTTTGAGGATATATATTTACCCTATGCTGAAGAAACTTAGACTATGAAAAATCCTTTGATAATGACATCATGACCTTTCTCTGGACACTGTCTCTGAATTTTGACTTAGTTACCAAGAGCTCCTTTGAAGACTGTTTTGTTTACTCTGGCAGGCTAACTGTAAAATCTTGGATGGCACAGGGTTCCTGGCCCTAACAAGCCTAAAAGGAAAGTGTGGATCTAAAAAGTTGCACAAATAAAGTTGCTGGGACTTGTCCATTGTAATATTCATTTGCATTGCCATACATGCCAAAAATGAGATTTTAATGTGGAAAAAAAGTACTGGTCAAAGTACAGTGGTTAAATGTAAGGTAACATTATTTACAATACTTTTAAATCATAGCAAATTTTTGGAAAATCTCTGTCAGCATCCCATTAGCACAACCCACAAATGCCACATGTGTTGGAAAAGGTGAAGTGGGCAAATGGGCACTCCTAAATCTGGTGTTCGGACAAAGTAATGCTCTGCTTAAAGTGTACAGCCTAAAAGATCAGATTCCTCCTCAATGTTGCATTAATGTTTTTCCTTTGCTTTAGAAAAAAGTAAATATTTTGTGCCACTTTAATTAATAGCAGGTCTCATGCTATTCAGTGTAACCTCATCACCTTGAATGATCTAATTATCTGTTCAAAGGTTGTCATGTTTCCTGATTTCACCAAAAAACCAGAGTTCAGTGACAAGTGTCTACTTAAGGAAAGCCATTTGACTGAGACTGGAGAAAAACAGAAGGGAAAGGAGCTGCTTCTAGTAAAACTGATCTATAACTTATTGACAAAATTGGAAATTAATATTTTTGAATAATTTGCAGAGACAGCCCCCCAACACCTTGGGATTTTGTATGATAATATGAGAAAGAGTTTAGCAGTCTAAGGACTGGTCTTTAGTAAGGCTTCTTGCAGAGAAAGAGATATCTGTGAAGGAAAACCTAGTCCTAGGAACAGCAGTCCAGAAGACTGAGCCTTCCAACAAACCTCCTTCAACAGGAAAGAAAACAGAACAGATTCTTTGTTTTTCTACAATTCTTCCCTAATGACTCTACAAACTGAGTCCAGTTTCTTAATGATGTGCTGTTAGTAATATTCTGCAATAACTAGGCAAGATGCCAGTTGGCAATTTACAGCAAATATGTCCTTCCTAATCCCCCCACAGTCTCCCTGTTGGCTGGGGCCCTAATGAGCATGGGCTGCTGTGTTGCAGGAATAAATGCTCAGCTGCATGAATGGCTCCACTGCTCCTTATATAACTGGTGTAATGGTAGTTTTAAAAGTTACTAAACTTACTGTCTTACTGGAAGGGAGAAAAGGATGCTTTCTTAGCAAATTACAAGTGGATTAGTCCTCTTTATCAGTAGGTTATTTTCCCTCAGACTGTGATAACCTGGAAAAAGATGCTGTTCGTAAAAAGGGTTCATCTAATCACAAATCTCATTAAGACAGCCTGAATGTCAACAGGTGACTGTGAACTGAAAAAGCATAGCTTTTCTTTCAGCACACTTTCCATTAAAAATGACATGAGATGTGGAGAGAGTCACAGCATAAACCACAGGGAATATACTTGTTGTAAAAGCACACCAGTGACCAGACAAAGCTGAGCCTGGGAATAAAGTATATAACATCTGCAAATGGAGGATAGGCTTTTAAAGTCCATTCAAGTATGTACAGTCCCCAAAGCATCTACTTGCTTTTCTCAGCTTCTGCAGAAGTCGATTGTAACAGTACAGAACAGAGTTGTTGGTAACAAGCCATGCTAAGACTGTGTTACAGACAGAATCTGTCCTAGTCGGTCATGAAAAAGCTAAAATTTTGAACCAAAACAGTGCAAATAAAGCAATTGTTTCTACTCTGTTTCCAAATCCAAAGACTTGCAAGGTATTTCGTCCTAATAAAGTAGGTTACATTTTTCTTCACAGAAGTAATCAGCCTAGAATAGGAGAAAATGTATTTGGAAAGTGGTTGAAAGAATTGGAACATTATAGGAGAAATCTGGAGTTAGGGTCATGAGTTCCCCCTAAATGACTAGGGAAGGCTTATTTACTTCAGTAAAGAAAGGAGTTGTGAGAAGACCCGCGAAAAAACCCTCATCACATACTCTTTTTGGGAAAATGTGTCCCTGTGACAGGAAAGCAGCAGGGGCAGAAGTGACACAGTTATCTGTTTACCCAAGGTCCAATTCTAGGCACATAGTAGTAGGGATTTCTGCAGGAAAGGAAACACATCTTGCTCTGCAGTTTGCTTGCCAAGACACAACACAAGCTTTACAACAGGCCACTGTTTGAAACCTGTGACATCTGGAGGTGGAAAAAACAGCCAAAAATTAACAGCTTCCACTGCCAGTTTCCAAGCACATGTACTGCCCAGTCCCTGGGTTAGCTCTGTAAGCACCATGGCCTGCGGTGACCACACCACACTTTCTTGCAGCACTTGTCCATGACTGTCTTTGTACAAAGGCATGAAAAACAGAGGCTGTGATCTGGTTTTGGTACTTGCATGGAAGTGTAAAGACCTTGATGATATCCCAGCACTGTTTGCTTCCCCAGGAGTTGTCTGAGCCCCAGGTTAGAGGGAGCAGAAACTTGAATATTCAGTCTGACAGCAAAGGGTTCAACTCTACCTGTGTTTCTTCTTGAACTGGGTATCTGCCAGTGCTTACACACTTCTGTGGGCACCAGACTCCCTGACAGCATGCTAATAGGTGCCCTTGCTCCAGGATATTGCTGCTGAGGGAGTTGGCCTTGGGTATGTCCAGGTAATGCAGAAAAATAGGTATTGGTACCTCTAGAGAATGTAGGATCTTGTGCAGAGTTTGCTGGCTTGGAGAGAAGGATCTTGAAAGGCAAACTAAGCAATGATTTTCCTGATAGTAGGACTATCTGAGCTGTTGCACATTTTTTAGTTCAGCCTGGTACTAGATCAGATTGCAAAGTCGCTACTGTCTCTACCAGATGCCTGTAGAGACAAGAGTGGAACCCCTGTGGGGAACAGCTCTTCTAGAGGATTAGCAGCACATGAGGACTTAATCTTCAAGAGGGAATTACAAAGTCTGACAGGCACATTCCCTGAATGTACACTAAGCATTGAAACAAACTGGGAAGAAAAACACTTGTTTATTTCTTCCCTTTGTACCTCTGATGAGTTCAGAGTTTCCCACCCTTATTCTGAGACTCAAAGGGACAGTCAAATTTTCTAGAGCTGAAATCACACTAGTAGTTTCTACAGGACAAGGTAATTCCAAAATAAAGGGAAAAAACCTTTCCACCTCCCCCCTCAAGTATTTATTTCCTTTGAATTAATGTTATTATTTACTTATTTCCGTAACAGTTGTAAAATATTTTGGTTTGGACCATCAGGTTGACAAATAGAGGAGCTGTGATTATCACGTAAGCACATGAATACAGAAGATGGGCTTTTATAAAACATGGTGAGACCACTGACCAAGTCACCAAGATTGGCACTGCTGTAGATGAATGGTCAGCAAATACTACACAGGAGAGAGAGGAACCACTTGCAGAGAGGGAAGGAAGAGATTCTCTGAGGTAATAGCAGCTACTTCCAAAAATACAGCAAATGTCCTTTCTATTTTTGGTACTAAAGAGCTGCTGGTTGTGAAGGTCTCATGTCCTGTCGGTACTCAAGACACACATGACTCTGTAATTATTATCTGGAAATTTTATTAATCTTAGTAGCTCAAGTATATGGACTGTGTCTTAAAAAGGTGTCCAAAACTTCAATAGGCTTTCTGAGCCTCTGCCTCAGAATTGACATCCTTACAACACAGAAACAGTATTACAAAAAAAAAATATATTAAAATCACTAATTTCATCAAAGAAATTACTTGCAGTACAGAAAAATCCTCCTAGTAGAAACTTACACATTGTCAAATCATGCAGACACAGCAAAGCATTGCTATGGAAACAAAACTAAAGATGGCTTATGGTGAGAAGAAAAACTTGCAAGGGATTGTGAAAAGTAAGTTTATAAGAATGACACCTTTCAGCTTGATCTTGATAGACATCTTGTAACACAAGCAACTCGGATTAGAAGGCTGTTTTTATTTAGTTTTCCACAGAGACAGGTTACTTTCACCTCTATTCTTACAAGTCTGAAATCAAATACTGTCAACATACATATATGGGCTACACAGCCAGAGAAATCTGCCAGTACAGAGTTACACTTCTCCTGTCAAACACTTTAAGAAAAACAAATATGATCCCTCCCATGCCCATCTAATGACAGAAGAACAGCTAAGTCAGGATAGAATGTTAATCATGAAGTATTTTCTTTATATGAGTCTAGTTATTCATAAAAGAGGAAAAAAATTCTAGTTTCTGATGTTTAAACAAAACGTACTTTATATATTTGGCTAAGCTGAAATATCATACCTTGCCAAATGAAAAACTGCTCCCTAACGGTAGGTTCCCTAGCAGCTCAGTAGGTATGCAAGGCATGCAGTTCATTTCCTGCCAAGGCAGAGAAAAATGGGTAGGTCTGAAATAATGTTTCGAGTGTGCTTGAAAAAGGTCTTAGCTGTTAAGGTTGTAGACTGCATATATACATATCTTGACTCTTGGTCTCCTTGAAAATTTCACAGGTATAACTTTTGGCTTAACTCCTTTTTAGCTCTCAGTGATGGAAGGTTCAGTAGGAGGCAGAATAGGAATTTCCAGAGCATTACAATCATCAGTGAGGTACACCAAGTCCTGGAGAAACAAAAAAAAAGGATAACATTTATAAGGTGCAAGACAGAAAATAGCACAATATTGTAAAGCTCAAACCTGATCCAGTTTTGCTGGTCAGGGGACAGTGTGGAGGCAGCGGGGACTGAAAGCAGAGACAATGTCCCTCTTGATGCATCTTGACCTACCCTTCTGCAGTAGGAGATCAGGATGGTGTACAGGCTCCGAGCTTTTTCCTTCAGCTCTTGCACTTCAAGCACTCTGTCACAACTAGGGTAGGCCACAAAATCTCGGAGCTTTGCCAGCACACAGTAATTCTGCAAAGCATGCAAAAGAGGTCTGTGTAACCCTGCACAAACACAGATTTATGTTCCTCATCCACCACTCCTAAAATTCTTACTGCTTCTGTGGGAACCTTGAATTCCTACCTCTATGTATATGTAATCTGTGTAACCTTTAGTTAGGAAAATTCATCATCAATATTTCATAACAAAGATGTTTGGTCCAAATTACTGCTTGGAAAAGTGCATATACAGAGTTTTGGTCTATCAGCTTATTTCTCACATGCTTTAGCAGGTAGCAGTGCCAATACAATTAATTCTGCTCCTCTAGTAGGTGGAGTTGTCTACAGAATAGATGCACTGTCCCACTTTTAAGAGAGCACCTGATTTTGCTGATGAACAGATTAGCAGGATGTCACAGATGTGATTGTTGCTGCACAACAGACAATACTGTGACTATCAGTCAAGAGTTTCTCAGAGTAATTTTTACCTCGGACTTTGTGTTATCAAAATAAAGCACAGACAGCATGAATTTCACAATGCCCTTTTGAGGCAGGTAAGTAAATATCCTGGGTATTGCTTTAATGCAAGGGAAACTGAGGCACTGGACTCACATTGCTTGATCTTTTCAATGAACTGTGGCACTGGGAACTCCAGAATTAGGCTCTAGAGGATCCTGAATTATAAAACTTGTCGGTGTAGTTGCTTCTTTCAAAATGTGTCAGACATCTGTTATGTCTGATATTTTCTATTTTTTATTTACTCAGTGGAGCACTGGGAAAAGAAGCAAAACACATCAAATATCCCTGGGCAGAACACTATGACATTAACTGTGTGTGCAGGAGGTTATTTTGGCTTTGCTGGGAGATGGCTACTGCTGTCTTTTCTCAGTATCACACTTCCATGTCCTCAGGCACAATTTCTCTTTCTGACTTCAACAAGCAGCTATTTAAAATAGGAAAAGCCAGCAAAGTATACTTTCTACTAAAGCTACAGTACCAGAAGACACTCAAGATATAAAATGAAGTGGTTTTATTGAGTGAAGAAAGTTTATTCTGCATTTCTTCATTTAAACCATTAGTCAAAGTTTTGTTGCACATATTTAAGTTCTGAAAAGACTCCGTCACAATTAATTAGGAATGTACAAATAGTAGTCACTTAAAAATATTGATTTCCTCATATTAAAATTTTTAATAGAGTAAAATCTCAGAAAGTGCATGGGGATTTTAATAATGGTTCAAAATGAGACTTTGTTTTGGTCACATCTCTCTAGTTAATTAAGATTTTAAAAATTCCTTTTAAATCATTCTTCTGGGGTACAATCTTAAGAGATATTCTCACCTTTCATTAACTGCTCTTACTGCACAACAGTAAGAAAGAAGTGTGCAAACTTACATGTATATCCAAGTACAGCCTGGGCATTGTCTTCACACATGAGTCCTGCAGGAAAAAAGAAAGATCCATTGCAATTTTGTTTTGAGAGAAACCTGTGTCAAAAGCAGCAAACTTCAATGCCTGTGCAGGAGCAGTTTTTGGGTAGACTCACCACAGCTTTGGAGGTCTGTAGTTCCCTAAAGGACTCTGTTATTTCTTTGCTCAAAGACAACACCCTCGAGTAGCAAGTTGGAGGAGCTGCCCTGGCTATCAGGGCAGCAGAAAGCAGAAGAGCAATCAGGCTCAGCAGCATCTTCATTGTGGGGAACTTGTCCAAAAGAGGAGGAAGGGAGGGAAAAAATTACCGTTAGTGGTTAGGCAGGTACTGGTAAGCGTCAATGAGGAAGTTTGACAAGTCAGCCCCCAATTAAATAGTCTTCTGCATCAACAAGAAAAAAGTCTGGGGGTGGTCCGAGCAGCAGCTTACTGCCTTCTTAAATTTCCTGCCAACCTATGAGGCAGAGCTGCTAGAGCTTTCCTGCCTGGAGCCGGGAAAGAGGGAATGAGGGTAACAAAAACAAACATTACTGGTCCTTTTCATTCCAGAAAGAAAACAACCTAGTGAGCATCTCAAACCACAGAAATATGTGTGAGAAAGAGCATGGGGTTAGCAGGGTTGTAGGCTCTGATCCTGTATGTACTTTGGCATATGCACCTCTTTTTTTGAGACCCTAATGTGCAGCTGTGAGACTACATAGGCTGCAGATAGAGAGAAATCCTTCTGGGATGGGTGTCATATGTTGTCACTATCAATCATCCTTAACAACATCCTTATCATCCTCAACAAGTCTGAAACACTACAGCTATAAAGGAAACCTCCCAGGTCTACTACAATTACCTCTTTTAACCTGATCATGCATTGGTGGAGTTTGTGGTCCTGAGGGATGTGAGTCAGGTAAGGAGTAAAGTTAGGCCCCTGAACTTTAGGAAAGCAAATTTTCAGCTCTTCAAGAAGCTACTTATAGGATCCTCAGGAAGATTGCCCTCAAGGTCAAGGGAACAGACAGAACAGGCACATCTTTAAGGAAGTCTTCCATAGAGTGCAAGAGCTAACAATCCCCAGGAGCAAGAAATCAGGCAAAGAAGGTAAGAGACCTGCTGGTTGAACTAAAGGGAAAGAAGCAAATGCACAGGCAGTGGAAACAATTGACCTGCTAGAATGAGTCCAGAGGAAGGCCACCAAGTTGATTAGAGGGATGGAGCACCTCTTCTATGAGAAAAGGCAGAGACAATTGGGATTATTCAGCCTGGAGAAGAGAAAGCTTCAGGGTGACCCAATGGCAGACTTCCAGTGCCTGAAGGGAGCCTACAAGAAAGATGGAGAGAGACTATTTACTAGAACATGTACATGGGGATGGCATGTACAGGACAAGGGAGAAATGGCTTCAAACTCAAAGACAGCAGGTTTAGATTAGGTGCCAGGAATAAATTATTTCCTGTAAAGGTGGTGAGGTACTGGAACAGGCTGCCCAGAGAAGTTGTGGAATATCCATGGAATATCCAGTTCTTATCCATGGAAATGTTTAAGGCCAGGTTGGATGGGGTTCTGAACAACCTGGTCTAGTGGAAGATGCCACTGCCCATGGCAGGGGAGTTGAAACTAAACGATATTTAAAGCCCCTTCCAACTCAGGCCGTTCTATGATGCTATGATTCTATGCAAATGCTCACAACTTCTTAACCAAAACAACAGTGCCTGTTATGGCTGCTTTGGGAGACCCATGTATTTACATATTTATGGTCTCAAACAGAGTGAATACATCTCTATATGGCTGTCATAAATGTATAAAAACTGTGTTGCTTTCCTAGTTGAATTTATGAGACTGTTCATTTATTAGACGCCAGACGGAGCTGAGAAATCCAGATGCTGGGATGCAGGCCTGAAGCTGAACATATGTTGTTTTATATGTTAATTGTCCTATAAAATGGAGGTACCCTTCAATGAAGAAGTGGTTACTTTGAAAGTTGTGCCACCCCTGAATATTTTAAATTCAGATCATAGCAAGGTATTAACCAAAACAATAAAGAATCGGATGAAGTACTGCAGTCCCCTGGCATTGTCGTAGAGCAGGAAGGTTCATCAGAAGGTGGGAAACCTAATTTTGGGGAAAAAGAAGTAAGTACTCTATATGTTGTGAGACCTTTGAGTTAAATCCACCAAAACACCTGGAGGAAACAGGAAAACACATGATGTTGCATGTTAAAGTGGTACATCCTTGAGAGGAAAGAAAAGTTCTGGTTGTGGGGATTTTAGGACTGGCCTTTGAGAATGTGCTGCTAGGTCCTATTTTCAGGAAAGGGAGTTGCCTGGACAAGTGAATAAAGAGGCCAGAGGGAGGCAGGAAGCCTTTAGCAGCTGGATCACAGATCTAAACATAGATGCTTAGTGCACATCCAAGGAAAGGATGCTACTGACTTGAGTCCTGCTGTTAAAGAAAGAGACTCTTAATCACCATCTCATTACCGTGAAGAGTGGCTGAGGGTAGAAGTGAAATATCCTTCTGTCACATTCATGTTTGGCAAGCTGCTAAAATGGAGTTGCTCTGACAGAACAGCAGTTTTCTGAACAGCACAAATGCTCTCCCAGTACAAGAAGTCAGCAAACCAGCTGCTGCTAAGGGTGGGTTCAAATGAAGCATTTGCTTTTTTTCTTTTTTAATTTTTTTAAAAGTGCAATGAATTTCTTTTTTGGCATTTTGCCTATATTAGTCCTACAGTGATGACTCCATTTCACACTGCACTTAAATACTATGGATTGTGTTCTAGAAGATAGATGTCCTAGTGACTATAATCACTCTTTGGCATGGAACATCAGCAAAGAACTCTCCAAGTCCTGTGTCCTGGTCGTATTCAGGCAGCTGAAAGATGATTAAAAATCTCTGTCTTTAGGACAGAGGAAAGCTAAAGGTGCCAACACTGCTTTGGAATTATACTATTTTGTGAAGGGGAAAAATTGCTAAAGTAATTTGCTCTGAAGATTTTGCTCAGCTGCAGTATTCCTGTGGTTTCTCTTTGATCCCCTATACACTAAGTGAAGGAAAGTCACTTGTGATGGATGTCTACTCAAACAGTTAAAAAGAATGAGCTACCCTCAGAAATACCAGGATTGGTTTTTTTGTCCTGAAAAAACACTAAGTACTGGAGTTTAATTTCCTCACCTACATTTTCTCCCTGGGCCAGATTACACGCATAGTTGACTCTGACCCAGATGAGCATTTTCCAATATCTAGTAGCTCATCAGCACTCAGCATGCAGAATGTGTAACTCAGTTAAAAAAAGACAGTCTCTTCTCAGTTACTGTTTATTTGTAGATCATCAGCAAGATTATCCTTGATCTGAGTACATTCAATTTCTGGTCCATATATGAGTAAATATCTTCTTTTTCTCTAAGAATCTCACTGGTGACGTCAGGAGAACTTGTGAGTGACACCAGGGAGTCCTTTCAGTCTAAGGCACCTGGCACAACTCTGAACCAAATACACAGTTACTGAGGCACTTGAAACTCCAGAATCTTTTCAGTGACTGGTTTTATCCAGTCACTTATGCAAAGCTACTTATTAATTCTGGTGCATACCCTGCCTTGGGCAGAGAAGGTCTTTAACAGGGAGACACAAGCTGTTCTTCACAAAGGCTAATAGCATCTTAAAGGCAGTATTCAAAATGGGCATGGAAATAGAATGTGGAGCTACAGGAGGAGAAGGGACAAAAGACCAAAATATATTAGAGGCAAAACTTGCCTAAGGATCAGCTCTATGGTGAAAAAGCTATTTACAGCGCATCCAGTCCATGGGACAATGTTGAGACTGGCATCAGAAGGGAGCACAGCATGAATTAATCAGTACCACCATATCTATGATCATCATGCTATGGACATCTCCAGCAGAGACACATCTTCACCATGCTCTTCCACTCAGGGAGCATATGGGGGTTTCAAGGGCTCAGGACACACACTCTCTGAGTTTTACATTAAGTCTCAAGGCTGATGATGTCATTAGAGCTCTGAGTGCTACTTACAGTGCATTTATTTAATCTTTTATAAGGAATATTCCATAGCAAAAGCAAACACATGGGCTGAGAGGAAACGTAGAAGCCTATTGTGATGTAACTGTGTATATATATATATATATATTTAAAAAATTGAACTATATTGTCTTTTTTCTAGCAAGCTCAAACTGAAAGCTCAAACAATAATACTTTTCTAAAAGTCAAAGGACTCACTGTGCAGGCAGAAATTCCTCCCATGTTTGAACAGTCTACCAGGGCCTCCACCAACTTTTGACAAAAGGCCTTTCAAGCTGCTGATTTCCTAATACCAAAATCCACTTGTTTAATGAAAATGCTTATTTTAAAATAGTCAGGAGCTGTCATGAGACACCTCATGAAATGAGCTTTTAATTATATTGAAAAATAGGAAAAGTAAAACATAAAAACAGTAAAACAGGGAAAGTCCTGTGTATCTAAGCAGTGTTTCAAAGCCCTGTGACTCAGCTGGTTGTTGTGGAAAATGTGCCACTTTCTGCTTCAGAGCAGGACAAAACTGCCCTGAAAACTTCTATCTCAGCATAAGTCTTTTTGGAAACTCTGGCCTTTTGGTTAAGGTCTTACCTGTTTGTCATGTTTTTCCTTGCTATGTACTTTGAGTCTTTTTGTAGGCATCAGCAGTGAATTTTGGGACAGGGGCTGTGCAGCCTCACACATCATTGCTCTGGGTCTTGGGGGTGCTGGTGCACAACACTGGCACAGAAGGGAAGCCAGATATGACAGCACAGCATGCCTGAATTTGAAGCTGGGGTAATCCAGCGTGTCTCCTTTTCTCTTCCATGAGGGCAATAAGTCTCTGCTGGTGATCTGCATTGCTTGGCCAAGCTACGGTCAATGGACATGGCAGGAGGATCTCAGAGCTGTCACTGGGCTGGTGTTACAACACCATTTCCCCATGAGAATTAAGCAAAAGTCCTCTTTGCTTACTCAGTGGTACAGGCTTCTTTTTTTTAGTTCACTGCTGTTGTTATTTTTAAAAATTTACATATATATTGAGGAAACAGATGTTACTGCTCAAAAGCCTGTTCGTAGATAAAATGATTATAGAAGCAGCTAAGCCATCTGGGTCAGAAAAAGAAATTAGATGTTCAGAGATCTGGAGGCCTTGCTAGCATGAACCTGGCACTGGGCGCTTTTCCTGCAGGAAAACATATGGAAATGGAGAGTCCTGTGGTCCAGGACAGAGACAGGACAGTCCAGCAGGGCTGGGGAGCAGGAG